GGGTGAATTGCCCAAACCAGCGGTCAATGTTGTCCAAGTGCTCGTCCATCCGTGTTTGACGTGTGCGGAGGTCCTCTTGGTTAGCTTCATACACGTTCATCCGTGCATGCATACGGTCCATGGAGTCACAAATATAGTCAATCCTTTGTGCCATAGTCCGCCGTGGTCGGGCTGCGGGTTGTGCGGCAGCCTCGCCCATCTCTTCGTCGCCATTCTCTTCCTTGCGAACCCATGTACCACCCACCTTCTTGAAGTGGAGGGACACCATAGTGTTTGGCCTCAAAATTTGGGCTTCGGTGGTGTACTCCACCTCTTCATTTCTAAGGTCGGCGCCAAAACTCCTGAAAATCATTGTGAGTAAAAGAGGACAAATAAAGTTCTTTTCACCTCTTTTGGTTTTGACAACGCCCCTTATTTCTGTCATGATGAGAGGGGCCAAAGGAATGCCCTCGATTTCTCCAAGTTCGTTCATCATTTTGTGCATGAGATAGAGGTCCAACCGCCGAAGCACATGCGTGTCACTAGCTCTTGGCAAGATGTTGAAGATCAAAAGGTATGCAATTAGCCTCTCTCGGGGTTCAAGAACACGGGCCTTAAGCTCTTCATCGAATCCATAGTCGTTCATGACATCAATCTCCTTGTAAGCGGGGCCGGTGAGCACTACTACAAAGTTCATTTCAACCGGACGACCGGCATTGGGGATACGAAGCAAGTTGCACAAACTTTGTTTGCTAATGGTGATTTTTGTGCCTTTAACAGTGCTCACAATATCCCCATACGGGTCCATTTTCCTCTCAATATTGGCATAGAACTCCTGTACAAGCGTCGGGTAGAATGCCCCAGTCAGAGTGAGCATGACAGCTCATCCCAATTTGTCAAAAGCGTCGGAGAGTCGATAGAGAGCTTCGATCTCCGGATGCACAGTCTTTTCAATCACAATTTTCCACTTCTTCCTTTGATCGTACCAAGCCTCATTCTCTGGGGAGGTGAAACGTGGTACGGATGAAGAGGAAGAAGTAGCATCATTTCGTCGTTTAGGAGCCATTGAACCTGCACAATTAGTTCAACACATACATACAACACCATTTTGTTCATCAATTCAAGGTAAGATTTCAAAAATTTCTCAATTTCCCCAAACTTCATGTTCATTCAAGAATTCTTGCAATAATCAAGTTTAGAAGATTATATATCAACAACAAGTCATATCAATATATCTCTAAGCATCAATTATAAAAGGAATTCACTAATGAGCAAGACTTTCAACATTAGGGTTCTTGAGAAAATTTTTCAAGAATTTCCCCTAAACTTGAACTTAAATCTCACAAATTTGAACAAGAATCATGTTTATATATACCAAATGAGCTCAAGGAACAAACATTCAACACTTATAAACATCTATTTTGCCAAAATTTGTAAGAGAGAAATGATTTGAAGAATTGGGGAAATGTGGGTTTAGAGCCAAAATACCTTGGATTGATGCTCAAAGATTGATGAAGAAGCTTTTTGAGGTGATGTTTGATGCAAAACCGAAGCTTTTGGGGACAATTTGAGCTTGGGGCGGCGGCTTTGGGTGGTTTGGGGTGGTGGCCGGACGTTTAGCTCTTAAGATTTGGGGGTAGGATTCGAAAAGTTAGTTGTTTTAAGCGGTCTGGGACTGTTTTAATCGCAGCGACCGGCGCCGGTTATCAGGCATCCGGCGCCGGATGTTCCACTTTGTTGCGCCCGGACTTTCTGTTTCGGACCGGGGCCGGTTGCTTCTGACCGGCACCAGTCTTTCCATAAAATTTTTAATTTTTTTTATCAATGATGAATAAATATAAATGTTGTTTATGTGAGTAAACATATTTACTTATAAGTGATTTTTGATCAATTATAAATAAAAATGAATATAACTTAAACATATTTATTCATAATTGTTTTTTTTGCGTTGGGTTGCCTCCCAATTAGCGCTCAGTTTAAAGTCGTAGGCCGGACGCAACGTACCTCTATTCTTCCAATTGGCATGCGGTGGTTGCCGAAGTGATATGGTACTCCATGTATGGCTTGAGCCGGTGACCATTTACAAGGAATGGTGTTTGGTCACCATTTTGAATCATCATCGATCCGTATGGTCGGACCTCGGTGATTGTATATGGTCCTGACCATCGGGATTTGAGCTTTCCAGGGAATAATCGGAGCCGTGAGTTGAAAAGTAATACCTTTTGTCTGACGTAGAACTCCCTCCAGTTAATGTTTTTGTCGTGTCAAACCTTTGCCTTTTCTTTGTAGATACGGGAGTTCTCATATGCATCCTCTCGGAGCTCTTCTAGTTCATTGATTTGGAGCATTCTCTTTTCTCTCCCAAGTGTGGTATCAAGGTTCAGTTGAAAGATCACCCAATGAGATTTATGCTCAAGTTCCACAGGGAGATGACATGGTTTGCCATAAACAAGCCGGAAAGGGGACATACCGAGTGGAGTTTTAAAGGCCGTTCGGTATGCCCATAAGGCATCATCTAGCTTTAGAGACCAATCTTTCCTTGAAGAGTTGACCGTCTTCTCAAGAATGGATTTTATTTCGCGGTTGGATACCTCCACTTGACCATTAGCTTGAGGATGGTAAGTGGCACTGGTTTTGAACATGCACCCGTATTTTTTTAGGAGGCCGGCAAAATGAATATTCTTGAAATGAGTACCATTATCACTAATGATACTTCTAGGAACCCCAAATCTTGAAAAGATGTTCCTTTTTACAAACTCTACTACCGATTTGGCCGTGTTGTCCGGTAGAGCAATGGCCTCCACCCACTTGGAAACATAATCAACCGCAACAAGGATGTATTCCTTTCCATGAGATTTAGGGAAAGGACCCATGAAGTCTATTCCCCATACATCAAATATTTCAACCACAAGAATCATGTTTTATGGCATTTCATTCTTTCGGCTCAAATTTCCGGTGCGTTGACAATGGTCACAAGTTAGGACAAAACTTCTTGCATCTTTAAAAAGTGTTGGCCAAAAGAATCCACATTGGAGGATTTTAGCCGCGGTTCGGTCCATGATGTCCTCCACAAGGAAGATTATGACAATGATCAAGTATAGATAGCATCTCCTCATTTGGAACACACCGTCGTATAATTCCATCGGCACAATGCTTGAAAAGATATGGCTCATCCCAATAGTAATGTTTGACATCATGTAAAAATTTCTTCCTTTGATGGAAAGTGAGCTCTTGGGGAAGAATTTCTTTGGCAAGATAGTTCACAAAATCTGTGAACCAAGGTAAGGGAACTCCCTTCACCTCCATGAGCTGCTCATAAGGAAAATCATCATGAATTACCTCCATATTTGTAGTGGCGTTTGGCTCAAGGCGAGAGAGGTGATCCGCTACAAGATTTTCACTTCCTTTCTTGTCCCGAATCTCAAGGTCAAACTCTTGGAGTAAAAGCACCCACCGGATTAATCGTGGCTTGGCATCCTTTTTATTCATGAGGTACCGGATGGCGGAGTGATCGGTGTAAACAATCACCTTTTGGCCAATGAGATAAGACCGGAATTTGTCAAAAGCATGGCATGGAGATGACGTGGTGATGAAGTGGCGTGCTGACTGGTCTTCTTCTCCGGCGAGGTTGCTGCCGGACTGGAGTACTGCAGCGGCTATGACTGACAGGAGAGAGAAACTTTGACCGGACGTTTGGAGGCCTTCAGATGGTCAAAAAATTCCGAAAAATATATTTTTGGAATCCTCAGAATGAGAGCTTTCTAATGGTGGCCTCAAAACAAGATTCTGGAACAAAAACAATTTGACCAAAAATTCGGGCAGAATGAAAAAATCCGGGTTTCTGGAGTAACCTGGCTCTGATACCACTTGTTAGGATTAGAAAATTCTTCTATTCATAACCAGAACAGAATTACAATAGGAGGAGCAACTCTCTCACTCAACCAGTGGCGGAGCTGTATAGGTGCAAAGGTGTTCATATGAACACCTAGATTTGAAAAAAATAAGCTAGTATACATGTATAAATTTAATTTAATTATGTATTGCCTTTTCAAATTTTAATTATAGAAAATAAATGAACACCCATAGTTTGGAACATAGATCCGCCACTGCACTCAACTATTACAAAAAAACAACCCTTTCATACACTCACTCTATGTGTATCACTCTCACTACTTTTCTTTCCGATTTTTGATGCTTTTGATCAAGCTAGAACCATCCTATTTATAGGGAAATGCTGGGAGAAAATTGCATGCTGCCCATATAGCATCCCATGCCTTCCCATGCCTTCCCATGCCTTCTCATACCTTTTAATTGATGGAGGATGGAGCTTCATGCCATGGAGTGGGTGTGTGTATGGGAGCTGCAGCAATCCTACATTATTTGTCAGAGAAACCATTCATTATTGCCAACCTTCATGTCACCAGTAGAAACTTTTTAGCTCGAGCTGCCATCATCACCATCTTAGATCCAGCCTTAATCCTGCCCCTGTACTTGTATTCATTCCTTAAGATTTCAAGCATTTGGACTTCTTCAACAACATTTACAGTAACATAGCGTAGACTCACAAGCCTCTTTGCCAATTTTCGAAGCTTCTTTAATGACTCCTGGCACTGGGCCTGGGCCAGCCCATGCCTAATTTGGTTCAGGTACCTATCTGGCCTGTTTGGAGTCCAGGTCAGTGCCTCATTGGCCTCTTCCAAAGCTTTTTCTGCCGCGACATGCGAGGCATGAAGCTCAGTAAATGTGAGTAGCATGTTATGCGAAGGAGATTCCTGAAGAATTCAATTGCAACAACCATGAAGCTTCCTCCATGTGCAAGCAACAACCATGAAGCTTCCTCCATGTGCAAGAATGACAAAGGGAGCTTCCTCAACCACCATTGAAGGTTCCTCATGTTTAATCCCACTTTCCTTCCACCTTCCTAGTACTTAGTTTTGGTGCTATAAATAGAGAGCTTGGAGAGTCTTTCTATCATCAAGTAAATTAGAATAGATCATCATAGCACAACCAAGTTTGAGTTGTGAATATCCTTGAGAGATATGTGAGGTGTTTTTGAGAGTTTTAGTTAGAGCTTGTATGTCTCTTCTTTCTATTCTTGAAAGTAATAGAAGTGTTTTTCTCTCATATTAGCACGATTCTGTTATTCCCAACAAGTGGTATCAGAGCCTAGTTGAGCTTTTGATATTTTCCCCATATTTTTTCAGACAAAATTCTACTGTCTGAAAAATCGAGTTTTTCAGTATTGCTCGGAATTGCAATCTGAATACACCATTGGATTCGTCTCGTCGAGACGAGAAAACTGGTATTTTTGGGGAATTTTTTGGCCACCGGAAGCTGCCATACGCGCCACAAAACGCCGGTCAAAAACTGCCTGCGTCATCGCTGACGTCATCACGCGCAGTCCAGAGGTAGAAGACGGCTGACGTCATCGCTGGCGTCATCAGCCAGCCAGAGCTGCGTCAGCGACACGTCAGCGCCACATGTGCAGCCCCAGCACAGTCAGCCACCACGTCATCAGTCAACTGCCATCTTTCACCTGCGTCCAGTCAGCTGGCACGTCATCGCCCAGTAAGCGCCACGTCACCTGCCACGTCACCGGTCAGTTTTTAAATTTTGAAAAATTGCAGTTTGGTCCCTCAATTTTTGAAAAATTTTAATTTCGGCCTATAATCTTTCGAAAATTGTATTTTGACCCCGAAAGTGCCTACCCACCATTTTCGGACGTTCCGGACGCAACGGTGCTGCCCGTTTTTCGAAATTCTGCTCCAATTTTTCTGAAATAGAAAATCAAAATTATTTAGAAGGTGAAAATGACCTCTGACGAGTCAACTTCGTCTTCCGGAGCTATGATTATGCTCACGGCTACCAACTACACGCTATGGAAACCTCGGATGGAAGATTTCCTTAGCTGTAAAGACCTTTTTGATATAATAGAGATGAAAGGTATTAATCCTGACCCGGCCAAGTCAACGGAGTGGAAGAAAATTAATAGAAAAACTATTGGTCAAATCCGACAATGGATTGACCATAGTGTCTTCCACCATGTTGCACAAGAAACCGATGCTTATGCCCTTTGGAAGAAGTTAGAAGATATGTACCAGGCCAAGACCGCTAGGAACAAGGCCTTACTGATGAGGCGTCTTGTTAATATGAAGCTCAAAAGTGGAACTTCTGTTGGTGAACATACTAGTCAATTTCAAAGTCTGGTAAATCAACTATCTTGTGTAGAAATGCCACTTGGAGATGAAATGCAATCTCTACTACTTCTTAGTTCCCTTCCTGATAGTTGGGAGACACTAGTTGTTACTCTCAGCAACTCAGCCCCAGATGGCAAACTTACCATGTCTGTGGTCAAGGATGCACTGTTCAATGAAGAGGCAAGAAGGAAAGACATGAGCACATATGAGACTCATGCCCTTGTGACAGAGAATAGAGGAAGATCTCAAGGAAAACAACAAAGAAACAGTAGAGGGAAATGGCAATGCAGAGGCAAAAGTCGGGGGAGATCATCAGATGGCCGGAAACCTTCTTATACCTGCCCCCATTGCGGTATAAGAAGAAGAAGTAAATGTCAAACCATGAAGGAAATCATGCATAAAGTGTACTCGAAAAATGTAGTTTCTACTATGGATTATAACGTTGCTCAGAGGTACCAGAAACGCAACACTAAACGTTGATTAAACCCTAAACGCAATTAATCAGTACAGATATATTCATCCACTACAAAGTAACAAATCTAGTCTAGAGGCAGACGCAATTTCAAACGTTGCTCAGAGGTACCAGAAACGCATAGGAACACTAAACGTTGATTAAACCCTAAACGCAATTTTAAACGTCGCTCAGAGCTCAGAGGTACTAGAAACGCATAGCAACACTAAACTTTGATTAAACCCTAAGAGCGACGAATTCGCTTACCGGAAATGAAGCTGGAATCAAACAGACTGAAATAACGTCGAGATCGGGCGGACTTGGTTATGGCGAGCGACGGGAAAGATGCGGTGCTCGATAGACAGAAGTAAACCAGCGCTGAGAAGTTGCCGGTTTGCCCGATACTTCAATTTATATTTAGCGGGAAAGATAAACGGAAGCCAGGCAGCTTTGGGTTCACGTGGACGGGAGTATGCCTGGACTCAGGCCGGGTGGCCCGACCCGGAACCGGCCCGAACCGGCACTGTTCTGGCCCGGCGGCCCGGTCAGTGACCGGTTCGGGTAGGCTCGACCCGCCTGGGTTTCGGTCCGGGCTCAGGCCCTTCAATTGGTGAACCGGCTAGTTCGGGCCCAGTCCGGGCCAATTTGTTTTTGAGATTTTTTTTAAGTTTTTGGGTTGTGCGGGGTATTTTGGGCCATTTGAGGTGGTTTGGGGTGGTTTGGGGGTGGGGGGGGGGGGTTAATTAGCAAAATCTAAAAAAAATTAATATGAACCGAGGCCCGGCCCGGCCCGGGGGTTATCCGGGCCGGTTCCGGGCCTCCCATTCCATGAACCGTGAACCGGTCGGGCCCGAACCGGCCCGAGGCCAGCCCTAGCCGGGAGTAATGGCTTTTATTTAGTAGTTGCCCGGGCCGGTCCTGAGATATTAGAGGCCATGTTATGTATTAAATAAAAGGCCCTGAATTGAAAAAAAAGGCTAAAGGGTCAAATTGGCCCTTGAACTAGGGCTGAGCGCGGATCTGGGAATTCCCGTTCCGTACCAAAGAACCTTTCCGAACCGTTCCAGAACCGAGAGAACCGGAAAAATGTAATATCGTACCGTACCGTACCGAGTTTTTTCAATAATATGGTACGGTACCAGTTATTAGTGAGAACCGTACCAGAATCGTCCCGGAACCGTACCACACCGAACCGTCTCGTACCGTCCCGAATTGTCCCGATTACTAGTGTTATAATATAATAATAATTTTGATATATAATATAATATATTATATACCGAGTATAATTGTTCGTATATTACTCTTACATCTTCTTTGGGCCCAATTCAATTATCAAAACAAAAAGGCTAAAGGGTCAAATAGGCCCCTATACCTGTTCGGAATGCTCAATTCGCACCCCGAACTCAAAAAAGCTCCAATTCACCCCTCGAACTCGTCAAAAAAATTCAAATCCCATTTTTTGCAGGTAAAATTCCGGTCATTGCCACGTCAGCCGGTTAGATGCCAACCGTGCATCCCATGTGAAAATCTAAGGGGTCAAATAGACCCCTCAACCCGACAAAGTTGTCCAATTTACCCCCTCAACCGTTGAAAAGTGTACAAATTGCTATTAAAAATATGAAAGTCAAAAACAGAGAAAAAATAAAATAAAATAAAATAAAATGATATACAAGTTCATAATATAAAACATAGATGTCTATTTATAATATAATAAGACAATTTTTATATTTCAGGGTAAATTATATATATATATATATATATATATATATATATATATATATATATATATATACAGAGAGAGAGAGAGAGAGAGAGAGAGAGAGAGAGAGGGAGAGGGAGAGACATAATGAAGGTACTTATTTTTTAAATACATATTATAAAAATGTAGTAGTCCCTAGCTATTTACATATTATAATTTTTATATAGTACAAGACTTTTATGTTAAATATAATTAGTATAAAGTTTAGTACATAGTATATGATTATAGAATAAAATAATATGAAGTATATATACATATATGCATGTGTGTGTGTGTGATTTTGCATATAAATCTAAAACATATTAAAAATATGAAAATAGTTTTAATGAATTTCTTTTAGTTTATTTTATATGAATTTACTATAAATATAAATATATCCTTATTTTTTGCGTTAAATTGACATAAAAAACAAAAAAAATTCATTAAAAATATTTTGATATTTTAAATCCATTTAAAAAAATCAACCATACATTTTTTATAAATTAATAATAAATTTTTTAATATTTTTTATATTATAAATAGACTCATAAATATTTAAAATATTAAATTTACCCTAAAATATAAATAATTTATTGTCATATTATAAATAGACTCATATATTTTTATATTATGAACTTGTATATTATTTTTATTTATATTTTCTATTTTTTAATTTTTATTTTTTAATGGCAATTTGGACACTTTTTAACGGTTTAGGGGGTAAATTGAACAACTTTGTCGGGTTCAGGGGTCTATTTGACCCCTTAGATTTCCACGTGGGATGCACGGTTGGCATCTAACCGGCTGACGTGGCAATGACCGGAAACTCACCTGCAAAAAATGGGATTTGAACTTTTTTGGCGAGTTCAGGGGGTGAAGTGGAGTTTTTTTTAGTTCGGGGTGCGAATTGAGCATTCCGAACAGGTACAGGGGCCTACTTGACACTTTAGCCAAACAAAAACACTAAATGATACGGATTATAAATAATGCTACGTAAATAGAACAGAAACTCTTAAACCTAATTCAGTCGGCAACATATCCTCTAGCAGACCAAAAAGTCCAAAAGTGAAGAACGACAGAACTAATCGCCTTTGGTGGTCCTCCTCAATTCGGCTCACCTATAAGGCTAATATAATCTTGCAAGTTCTTTTCTTCAATTTTTGTAGAGTTATTTATAAATGTTAAAATCTAAAGTTTTTATATTTCATGGGGGTTATTTAGTTATTTAAGAACCGTACCGAACCGTACCGGACCGGACCGAAAATTGGTACGGAACGGGACAGGTTCTACATATATGCGGGACGGTACCGGTTCTTGATTTTAAAAAGAACCGTACTTTGGAATGGGACATGTTTTTTGAAATAACCGTCTCGTACCGTCCCACGCTCACCCCTACCTTGAACTAGCTTAAAGTGTTCAATTAGCCCCTTATATAGGAGGTTCTGCCCGGCCGTCACCAATTGGAGCTGTTCCTAGTAGAATTTTTTGATGAAATTTTGTTAACATATTCTTCATTAAGTCTAGTTTACCCATACCAAATTTCAGCTAAAAAAGCAACCGTGAAGGCAGTCAAATGATGTTTTGAAGATAATTGTGGAGTAAAAACAGCGCGGTACATTTTGGGAAATCATTTGACTGCCTTCCCAGTTGAATTTTTAGCTGATATTTGGTATGGGTAAATTAGACTTAATCAATGTTCTAAAAGGCGCTACGCGTTAGTCGGGCGCCAGCCCAGCGCCTAGTCGGCTAGGCGGGCACCTAGGTGGGGACTAATCGGAGACATCGAAATTGTAGTTTTATCAATATTTTTGCATAAATATGATTAGTAATGTTGTATTTGTGTGTGTATAAAAAATATATACACACACATACACATTAACATGCATGAATGATAGAGTTATCACATTTAATAGGGAAAACTATCATATAGGTCCTCCTACTATATCAAAAAAGTCAATTGAGTCCTCGTACTTCAAAATCAACCAATCACATCCTCAAACTTATAAAAAACAATCAATTGGATCCGTTCACCGGAAAACAACCGGTCACCCAGTTAACTTACACACGTGTCAAACCTTTCATTTTCATTTTTTCCATCTTGCTTTGTCTTTCACCCCTTCTCTTTCGCATGACGGTCTTCTTCCGTCAACCCCAACTGCAACATCCTTTTATTTTTCTTTATTTGCTCTTTCTTTTCTTTCTTTCTTGACCTTTCTTTCTTCCACCTCATCCAATCAAAAGAAGTTTTTCATTCTTCATTTTCACAAGTTCAGCGATACAGAGGACGAGTGATTCAAGCGACAGCTTGGGCTGCTGCCGCATATCATCTTTTCCGACCAACGCAGTCCCCCATTGGGTCTTCTGCTTCTCAATCCATCTGCCCTCTCCTCTGCTACAAAATCTGGTCGGCGTCGGCGTGGTAGCTATTGCGATGTCCGCCGGAGGTTGTTGAAGTTCTTCCCCGAGTTTACCGGCAAGTTTATCTCCATGTTAATCCGCCGCTAGAGTCCGTCATCCATAGAGAACAGAATGATTGGTGTTGTGAGTTGGGTACTTCGGTGGGTTTGTAGAAGAAAGGAGGAAATAAGAGTCCTTGGTTTGGTTGCTGGTTGCTTGATAGAAGAAAGAAGTCAAGGAGAGAGAATCAAGAAAGATAAGAAGAAGGAAAGAATTAAAGATAGGAGAAAGTTTGCAGAGGTACGGGTCGAGGGAAAAGAAAGAAAGAAAGCAGAGAAAGAAACTAAGAAAGAACAAAAAAAAATTAGAAAAAAAATGCCACGTTGGAGTCCAAGTCATCTATTACCGGTGCAATTCAAAACCAACCGGTTAAACATTCAAATTGAGTGTTTTTTTATAGTTGAGGGACTTAATTGATTGATTTAATTGTACGAGGACTCAATTGACTTTTTCAATATAGTACGAGGACTTATTTGACAGTTTTCCCCATTTAATAATATATTATATCTACTCACTCACTAATAGCTATCTTCACATCCATTGTCAAAGTCAAAGGTACATATTTCTTAGGATACTAAAATAAAAAGGCAAAAAATAAAAAATAAATTGTTTGATGAATCTAGATGCCTAGGCGTCCCATTAAGCGCTCTGGGCGGGCGACTAGGCGCCCTAGACAGCCGACGAATTCACTTAGGCGCCGATTCAATTAGTCGGAGCGCCTAGATCAAAATCGGGGCACCCGACCACCGCCTAGCGCCTAGGCGGGGACTAATCGGGCGCCTAGAGCGATTTTTGGAACAGTGGACTTAATGAAGAAGGTGCTAAAAAATTTCATCACAAAATTCCAACAGGAAGTGCCCTAATTGGTGACGGCTGGGCAGAACCTCCTATATAAGGGGCTAATTGAACACTTTAACCTAGTTCAAGGGCATACTTGACCCTTTAACCTAAAAAAATTATATTACCCTGCATCAAAGTTAAAAATAAATTGTCAATAATGATAATTAATTTAATTTTAACAATTAAAATTTACATATTCAAATACTAAATTAAAATCTATAAAAAGTTTCAAAATTCAAGATAAAATTTAATTAAAGATTGATATCTCAATTAAGTCAATACAATCAATTTGTTTGATTCAAAAAAGTCAATTTTTTAAATCAATTTGAAACTGAAGAAGTACTATATATAACACATGTAGTGAAAAATAATAAACTTAAGAACCGAAAAAGTAAGTATAAAACGTAACGAAAAACTTATTTTGATTCGTAACAAACAATATCATAACAAAAGAAATCCGATGTATTAAAAAAATGATATAATTAACTATAAGAAAATCAAGAACGTAACTTAAAAATTAAGTGTATACGAAGTAATGTAGTATAGTAAAGCAACAACAACAATACTTATAGTTAAATTTATTACTACGTATGTGTTTACTTGTGATAAATTAGAAGTGATGTTTTAATTGATTTGATATTAGACTAAAGCACAAATGTTCCTCTCAGGTATACCTGACAGGAACCGCTGTCCGGCCTCCTCCTTTTAGGGTCTTCCCGGTGGTATTTTTGCTCAAAGTTTTTGTGTATGTTCCTCATCAAGTCTAGTTCATCCATACCAAATTTCAGCAAAAAATTCAATCGGGAAGTTTTTTGAATGGTTTGCCCCAGAGTGTGACATATGGTATCACCCTTCCAGGCAATTCTAAATTCCTTATGTAATTGTATATTGTTGGGTGTTACAGTGTGCTGCGGAGAGATTGGACAATTATGATTGGATGAGTCGCCTTCCAAATGACATTCTCGTTGTGATATTGTCTTCTCTTCCGCTGAAGGAAGCTGGGCGCACGAGTGTTCTTTCATCTAGTTGGAAGAACTTGTGGAAACAAACCTCACGCCTCAATTTTAATGCAAGCAGCGCATTGGACAAGATTGCTCGAGATCACAAGGTACGCATTGAGGAGAGGCGCAAGTATGTAAGATGGGTGAACTCAGTCCTGAAATCTGCACCACGCAAAGAAGCGCTCAACTTGGAGCACTTCAGGATCTGTTTTGATGTAGGGAAAGCATTCTCTGTGTAACACCGTCCCCAAATGTATTTACTTTTAAGTGAATATTGTATTTTAACCTTATGGAATGGTTGACGAATTTACGATGTTATGAATTTTTATTAATTATTTTGCGTGAATAGTAAATTCGCACGTGGGGCCCACACCGGGAGCGGGGACCGCCCAATATTCCCGGGACCACATAAATTATTCATCTTGGTCTAGATAATATTTATATGGTGGTGGATAACTCATTTGAGCCATGGAAAGGTCCAGAGTTGACCGATTGGTCAAAAGAGGCCCAAATACCGGTATTGGCAATTTAACCGATAAAAGCCCGAAATTGGATTTCGGGGACTTATAAATTAAAGATTGGGAATTAATATTCATTATAAGGGTCATAATGATGGAGAACACATAATATATTTTATTTGACCCGATAAAATAAAATAAAATTAAAATAGTCCGAAAAATACAACTTTCGGGACCGATTGTACACTTCTAGACAAAAAGGGTTGACCTCCCACATGGGTGGGAGCCAACCCACGAATTTGGCAGAAAAAGGAGGGCTGATCTATTTCAAACAAGGGCTGAAAACCTTGAGGAGATGGGAGAGACAACCTTGACATCCCAAGGGCCCCATTCTCACTCATTTGGCAAAAATGCCAAAAAGGAAACCTCACCCCATCTCTCCCTCACTCTTCCTCTCGGCCAGCACCAACCCCAGCAAGAAAAGAAAACCTCCATCCTCCTTTTCCCATCCTTGAAGAGAGCTCAAACAATAGAGGTCCAAGGGGGAAGATTAAAGGGAGAAAAAAGCTAGGAAAAGTGAGAAAGATTAAGGTAATGACCTTGTATTAACTTTTCCTTTATTTTTCTTCTATCATATGAGGTTTATATCATAGGGAGAACCTTGAGGATTGTTCTACATGATTTAAGTGTGGGATAATAGGTTGGAGAGTGGTTCTAAGTCCAAGAACGGACTTGGAAGCCAAACCGACAAGTTCACCGGAAAATAACCTTTTAGAGGTTATTTGTATTGATTAAGGTTTTATGATGTTAAAACCTTGTTGGGAACTTGATTAAAGTATTTTTGAGCTTCGCCGGAGTTTCGCCGGAGTTGGTCAAAGTTCGCCGGAGTTGGTCAAAGTTCGCCGGGATAAGTCAAGGTTCAATCGGGGAGCGTAGAACGCACGTGAGCTCACTTAAGGTGAGGATGACCGACTATATTGCTTATAATTATTGGTTTAATTTCATGAGATTACCTAAATGAATTAAATGTGTTTGGCATGGTTTATTAATGATAAAAAGTGTCTAAATGAAATTAATATTGTTTATAAGCGAAAGTGCATAATATACAAATTATGAATAAATTGTGTATGATTATGTGTTATGAATAAAATGGCATGATAAATGTATTAACCATGAATGTTCATTGTGATAAATATACTTTTACCTCATGTAAAGAAGTCATGGAAGGATAAAAGTGATATTTTGATATTAAAGCCAAACTATACTTGAATGTGGAATTAAATTGAAATATACGAACTATTATGAATTTGCATTGCATATATTAAGATTAAACGACTAGTATAGAATTACTAGTCGGAAATGATAGTTCAATAGTCTTGGGGATAATCCCAAGATATTGGAGCTAAGTAACCTTAAAGGATATTTTAAGGTGAACTTTATGAACCCAAGTTACATTAGGAGTAGGCCTTAAGGGTTACTCAAAGGGATGGAGCCTAGACTAAGAAATTGTTTAGGATTAGATGGCGTGACTATGAGCCGAGCTCTAGCACGTGGTAGTATGACTATGAGCCGAGCTCTAGCAAATGTAGTATGACTATGAGCCGAGCTCTAGCACGTGGTAGTATGACTATGAGCCGAGCTCTAGCAAAATGTAGTATGACTATGAGCCGAGCTCTAGCAAAACGTAGTGTGACTATGAGCCGAGCTCTAGCACGAATTAGTATGACTATGAGCCGAGCTCTAGCATGAAGGAACGTGAGTTGATTATAAAATAATAACATCCTAGATTGAGGGTCTTGGAAATTGAAACTTTGATTATACTTAGTATAGTTGTCATTGTACTTGTCAAATGCTTCCAAGTACTGACCTCCCCTTCACGGGGGAGGCCACCTCACAGTTTCAGGTAGAACTTGAAGGTTGCTACCATCGTCGTTGCTTCGGGAGGATCCAAAAAGGAGGAGACGTGGTTCGTGCTTCCCCCGTTTCCATTTTTACAAACTATTTAATTAATGCTCATGGATATTACTTTTAAATATTTATTTGGGGGCTTGTATGCCCATGTTTGCCAAGGTGTGGCATGAACACTTGTATTGAATGTTTCCGCTGCTTTAAATGAATATTTTACATTATGTTTGTTTATGGATGTACTATGTGTGAATGATATTCCTGACGCCTCGTATAGTATGGATGTGTTGGACTGCGGTTGACTATTCGTACTGTACGGCGGGTTGTTGACGTGTCCGGTTAGGTCCGGGGCGTGACAATTTAATTGGTATCAGAGCCTTAGTCCGTAAACTTCATAATGAAGCTTCAAAATCTTTTTTAAAATGAATTTGAAAACCATGAGCATAAAAGTTTTGTACTTATAGAACTTTTGGTACTTGAGTTGCAAAGTCTCTAATTGTTAAGATGGTACCCTTAACAATTGGTATGGCGGTGATTTGAGCCAAAGGATGTCTTTAAGTACCTCTCTGTCATTTGACATTGCTACGAGTCTAATGACTCATTCTAATTTCTTTCAGAAATGGAACCAGTTGGAAGGATCACTAGAAGGAACCCGACGGGCCGTGTGCCGGGTGGGTCCGAGCGCGGTAGCCGGGGGTCCTCTAGGGGATCAAGAGGAAGGGGCCGTGGAGGCCAACAACAACAAACCGTGAGCGATGGCCACGTCGATACGGAAAGTGAGACCTATTGGTCTTATGAGGACTCGACCTACCGGCCGGAAACTGAGCCGGTAGAGACCCCTTATGAAGGGGATGATGATGATGATGTGAGTGACGAGGAGGAGAATGGCTCCTTGGCTAGGATTGAAGCGCTGCTCCAACAATACCATCGGGAGCGCGAGGAAAGGAGGGAACGCCGAAGGCGCCGTGCGGGGCAGCCTTCGGGCGGGGCTCCAAGGCGAAGGAGCTTTTGTGATTCAAGAACCCATGTGGAAGCGCATGGAAGTCGAGGTGATGGAGGTCCAACCATAAGGATCTCCAAATACATTAAAGAGGCGAGGGACTTGGGGTGCAAACCGTTCGATGGGACGGGAGACATCTCGGTTGCCGCGCAGTGGATCAAGAGGCTGAACGAGGCAGCCCTTGACATGCAACTCTCCCCTGATTTTAAACTGAGAATCGCGGTGAGGTTACTTGAAGGGTTGGCATCCAAGTGGTGGGATGGAACCAAGGGCAAGTATGGCGGGAATGTTACTTGGGAGGATTTTCGGCAAGAATTCTTTGCCCAATACTACTCTGACTTCGAGGTAAACGCCAAGGTGAGAGAATACACTCTTCTAACCCAAGGGGGTAACATGACGGTGAAAGAACTTGAGCACAAGTTCAGGGACCTTGCCGACCACATACCGGAGTATGCTTGTGATGAAAACCGAATGGTGAATCACTTTTGGGAGGCTTTGGACCTGGAGATACGTGATAGGGCGACTCAATTGCCCAACATGACTTTTAGCCAAGTGGTTGCCCAGGGGTTGAAGGGAGAGAAGCAATGGGAAGAGAGAAAGAAGAGAGACGCCAAGGAGGCGAAGAAGAGGAAGTGGGAGAACCATGGCCCCCAAGGTTCTAACAAAAAGGGGAACCATGGGGGAGGTGGATCGTTCAGAGAACCGGCACCGCCATCCAAGGGGAACCCGGCCTTCAGCGGGCACAACTCGGGCTCACAAGCCTCAACGACGCCCAGGTGCAGGAATTGCAACAGGAGCCACGCCGGTAAGTGTCGTGATCCACCACGGTGCTACCAATGCGGGAGTACAGGGCATATTAAACCAAATTGCCCTCAACTTGGTGGGAACCGAGGGGTGGGATCAAGCGGCGCTACCATGGCGAGTAGGAGCCGAACCGGGGCACCCCATGCTAGTGCGGGGCAAGGGGGAGCGAGCACGAGCAACGCGCCGTCCGTAAATCAAGGGAGGACTCAAGCTAGAGTCTATGCGATGACCGAGGCTGACGCTCGGGCTAATCCCGACTCCGTTGCAGGTAATCCTTTGTAACGATTGATAAATTACATGTATTGAGTGCTAAGAATGATAGCGGGTTTGTACGGGCTCGCCGGGGCCGATACCGACCGGTTTCTTAGCAAAAAGTTGCAAAACTAAACTGCCCAGGGGTAAACCGGCGCCGGTCAAGGCTTAAACCGGCGCCGGTTCTAATTAAAAACGCCCGTTTTGGGGTTGCCGTGGGTAAACCGGCGCCGGTTTTGGCCCATAACCGGCGCCGGACAAGGGTCGGGGAGGCTTAGCTAATAAAAATTTTATTTCCGGGGGACGCCGTAGCAAAACCGGCGCCGGTTTTGCCCATAACCGGTGCCGGTTTTGCCCATAACCGGCGCCGGTCTAGGGGAAAGGGGGTCGGAAAAACTCACCGTGCTCGTAACCGGGGCCGGTTTTGAAGAAAAAACAAGTTTTCGAAGTTGCCGAAGGTAAATCGGCGCCGGTTTTGGCCATAACCGGCGCCGGTCCAGTTTAATTTGCGTGAATCCGGCCACCCCGAAGGCAAACCGGCGCCGGTCTTGCCTAGAACCGGCGCCGGTCTAGTGTATTTTCACCCGAAATGTTTTTGTTAAGCCCCGTTTCGATCCGGTACGTTGGGTGGTGTGTCTTACATGACTTATATATATGTAGGAACATTAAAGATCAATGGTAGAAACGCAAGAATTCTCATTGATACCGGGGCACAACGTTCATTCGTGAGTGAAGCGTTTGCCGAAAGTTTGGACATGCCGTTGATAGTAATGACACAACCCTTGTTGGTCTCTACACCGTTGGGAGACGATGTAAAGAGGAAACATTACTACCCTTCGTGTGAGGTAGAGGTGACGGGTCAACCTTTGACTTGTGACTTCGTACCTCTAAGT